CGACGCTGATCGCCGATGACCGTTTTCTAAAGGTGTATCCGCGCGGTATAGGCGCGGAGTGGCAAATCAGAAAATAGTCAATTTGGTTAACCCAGTTCCATAGACCTCGTTCTATCGGGCCGCGCGACCTTTACATCTGTCGGTTGGACTAACCGAGATAGAGGAGGGATCCACCTCAAAAGCTCCTCTACCTGCCATCGGACACCAGTGTGACCAGGCTGACCGTCCGGCAGAACGCCCACACGAATTGCTACTGCGTTATTTCGAGTGTTTTAGCCTTGGGTGGCGGCCAGAGAAAACTTTTGAAATATCGGGGAACGCCTGGGCTCTTTCTCGGCCATCGGGATTTCGAGATAAGTACAGAGTACCAACGAGTGTCCACGAGTACGGTGCAGCGAGTGACGGAAACAGATCCTCGTCAAATATATAACAGACAGCCACCGCCATTTTTCTATCTCTTTGAAGCGAGAACAAAAGTTTCGTAAACGAAATTCATGCGACGCCTCGACCGCGACGTCACGATCTTTCGTTTCGAAATCCTTCTGCGTTCGTAAAATTTCTACATTACGTGATTTATCTAATAAAGACGTTAAAGAAACTAACTTGCCCAATTTGAAATTCTGAGTTTCAGAATTACGAAGTTGCTAGAGAGTTTGTGAATTAAACAACAAAGACGAAGTATATTACACATAGTTTTCCATTTCGTTTGATTCTTTCAAACCAGGTGATCTTGAACAAATAAATGTGTGAGGATAGTATTGATGAAATTTGGGGGAGAGAATACTTGGAATTGATTTACAATTTTAAAAAATATTGGCAAGTTAATGTGTATTGTTTCTTTTCAAATCACGTAAAATGGGTTTTTTTAAGGGACGCCAAACCGAATGTCAGTTACTATTTCTGGCCTCATATTATATTTTCAGTAAAGAATTTTTTTCTCGAAAGTACGTAGGATTTTATGGGTATGTCTATTCACAAAAAATGATTGTATTTGGCCCCCGCAACCGAAAATAATTTTTTCAGGACGATTTAAAATTTTTCTTCTTCAGGGTAACCAGACAGTTATGGTCAGACACTATATTTTCAGTGATGAATTTTTTTCTCGAAAGTGAGTAGGATTTCGGTGTTACGTGTATTGAACAAACATAATTGTAATTGACCCCTGCAATCGAAAATAATTTTTTTAGAATGATTTGAAATTTTTTAATTTCGCCGAAAAATTTATCTGCTTATTGAATTTTTTTCTCGAAACTGGTTGGGATTTCGAGAGTATGCCTATTCACCAAAAATTACTATAATTGACCCCCACAACTGAAAATAATTTTTCTAAAAAATTCGTTTTTGATTTTTAGTAAATTTATTCGATACTCTACGGAAATACATGGAATTGATTTACAATTTTGAAAAATATTGTCAAGTTGATAAGCTGTGTTATTTATTTTCAAAGCACATAGATGGGTAGTTTTTTTAAGGTGCATCAAACCGAATGCCCTTTGCTCTGTTTTAATAAAGTTTTTCCATCGACAATAAAATTTCTACATTCACGTTTCGTTTATTAAAGACGTTAAATAAATTAATAAACTTACCCGACTTAAAATTCTGCGATTCAGACTTAAGTTCCTAGAGAGTTTGTGAATTAAACAACAGAGACGAAGTATATTACACATAGTTTTCCATTTCATTTGATTCTTTCGAACCAGGTGGCTTTAAACAAATAAATGTGAACAGTATGGATGACATTTGGGAAAAGAAAAAAAATACTTGGAATTGATTTACAATTTTAAAAAATATTGTCAAGTTGTTAATGTGTATTACTTTTTTTTTTAAAGCACGTAAACTTCAGTTTGAAGAACCCTCGTTCGAAAGAATAATGGCTACCCTCTAGTATGGCCAGATCTAACATTCTTATTAGCCAGATGGCCGTTCCTTCCTGTTTCTGGGTTTCCTGATCGATTCCCAGTGTTTTGGCGTTACGAATAACGAAGTTGCGTAGTTTTTCCGCCCGTCGAGAGCAGAATCGCTTCCAGATGTATCCCGCGAATGTATTTGGTCTCTGACACAGATTTTGCAACATCGACTCTATAGTTACGCCTTTATTTCAGTTCCACGCCCGTGGACATTGTAACGGGCGTGTTTCCCTTGCCGTAAATCAACAGTCATTGAATTAACGTTGCCATTCTCCCGAGTAGACCATAGATCGTTGGACCGCCTGCCAAGATTACAACAAAAGTTACGATGTGTACCGTCACGTGTCACCCGCATGCTCTCATTTACCGTCACACGCTGCAACAGCCACCACAGATTCCCCGAAACCTGGTCAACGATCGATTTATCAATATTCCGACCACGAACGTAATTAATCAACGCGATAACTAACGCGTCACGCGTATAAAATAACGTAAAGGATGTGTCAAGAACAGTTACGTTTCGTCTTCGTTATGTCCAGTTTCAGCCACCGTGTGTTACACATATAACTATCCATCATCGACACCATACGCGAAGCATCTAAATTAATCTACACAACATTCGATATTCCAACCATTACGTCGTCCTATCGTAAAAAGACCAATTAAAAAAAAATTTTATTTTTAAAATTAAACAAGCACGTCATTTTCATCAAGATTCAACTTTATCGTGCCCGATGAGGGCTGGGAAAACAGTAGAAACGTGGCGACTGTTCAAAGAAATAACACCACCGTTTTACAAGCCATTATTTACCTCGAACAACATTGTTTCGAATCATTGTGACTATAATGAATTCCACTGTCATCACAGAACATCGTACTAAAAACAACCATGAGACAGACCGAGAAAGCGTAACTATTTTAGATACAGAACCAAAATACTTTCAAACGTTTCGCGTTAGGGATACTACACACAAATGCGATAAGCTTACAAACAATATGAAACAAATTAGACTATGTATACAACCAATTAATCACGTGTTTTAATATTATTACAAGTTATATTATTATATAATATAATTTGTAGTTATGCAAATGTACAGATCGTTCCGGATAATTGAGTTGCACCGTTTGCTTCCATCTTTACAACGGTTTCTCTTACAGGTATTTCTTTCGATATCTCCTTTTGCTTAAAGATCCATCACTCTGCTAGCTGTGGTTCCTTTCTTGACTTCATCGCTGACATTTTTCACACAGATATCGAAGACAGGTCTCAAGGACGTGTAGACATTCTTCGATGCAGCATAGGATGAGGTTATCATCGGCTCCTGGCAGACGTCCATCACACTACAGAATGATTGATTCGTACGATTTGAAGTTTACGAGCGACGAAGATTCGATTTCCATCGAACCGTGTACTTCACACTTCACAAGTCTAAATCAGACTACTTTCTAATTGAATTTCACTTCACTGTCACAAGTTTCGCGCTTTAAAGTCGAAGATTTTCATTTTCAAATAAAAGGACCGACTGATTTTGCTCTAGGCTCGCGACGTTCAGCCCTTGGAAACTCAAACGAAACTGTCTGAAGGATCGAATATTTTCCAGAGTCTGCTCGTCGGAGCACGATCGTTCGACACAATCGTTATATTTGTTTACGACAGTGACGAACGAAATTTACCAGGCACAGAAAAAATGGAACTCTGGCAAAACAATACCCAAGAAAATTTCGGTTTCGTAGCTTTGGGTAACGTGCTAAGTTCGAGTTGTCGTAAATAAATTTGCTCGCAAACGCGTAAACTGTAAACAAATTATAGAAAATTTGTTTTACAAGGCAGTAAATACAGTGAGGATTGGAAGACATGTTCCAGAATTTTTTTTTCGTAGGTGCGTAGGATTTCGGGGGTATATGTATTCACCAAAAATGATTGTAATTGACTCCTGCAACCCAAAATAATTTTTTAGAAAGATTTTAAATTTGTTTTCTTCGGGATAAGCAGACAGCTATGGTCAGACATTATATTTTCAGTAATGAATTTTTTTCTCGAAAGTGAGTAGGATTTCGGGGTAATGTGTATTGGTAAAAAATGATTGTAATTGACCTCTGTAATGAAAAATAATTTTTTTTTAATGATTTGAAATGATTTAGGCACCTGTCGATTTTTCTTAAAAATTCGTTTTTGATTTTTAATAAATTTGTTTTACGCTATGGGAAAACGTTATTTAATACTTTTTTTGTAGGCATCTATGAGCTCTGCTTCGTAAATAAATTTCATTCAAATATATTCACTATTGTAGGAGTTATTGTTGTTTGAAAATTGAGCCATTTCTATAGTGTCTTCCTCACTTTACGGGGTTAATTTGTAAATATTCTTCACCAAAATACGCGTTGTCTGCAATTTTGAAATATTAAAATATTCCAATCCATTCAGGAGTTATGATTTTTTAAACATACGAATGAAATTACGGGGATACATTTCCACATCATCCACATATGGGTGAAAGAACTTTCCACTACGGGAACTGAAATAATTCTCAAGTTGAAATGTTAAAGGGGAATAAATTTGAATACGGATTGATCAATTTGAGGTAGTTTACTGTGGTCTACAATCAAGGTAAAAAATTATACGCTTTTGGTCTAGCAGTCAGTGTTAAGGCAAGACCTGCTAGGGTTGCTCTTTGCTAATGTGTTTCCGTCTCTTACTATACAGTCAAGACCCGCCATAACTCCTATCATGAAATAGGTTTCTGGCCACCATTGCTCCATACCGTTTTCGGTAGAATGCTTTCCGTAGTCCTCTTGAGGTTTAAACGGAAATCTGAGGAACGTCGTCGAATGCAGAAGAGTTAACCCCTTGCACTACTCTGAAATTCGGAAGAAGCCGTGCCTAACCCATACGCCCGAATGATCGGAACGAGCCCTAATATCGGAACTTGAAACACGATATGTCGATCGACGGAATATCGATATTTACGAGTTCGACTCGTGATGTTCATGTTTTGACAAAATGTCGATTACAAGTCAGACTCGTGTTATTCATGTTTGACGCGAAATTGAACAACGAGCCTGACTCGTGATAGTCAAGTTTGGCCTAAAATTTTCATGAAAATAGTGCAAAAGGGTTAAAAGACACTGTGCACTTCCGTCGCGTCTCAACAACACGTGAAAGTGTCCGAGGAATTCGCGACGCCCCGGTGACGTCACGGGACGTCTCGTGTTATTTGGCACGGGACGAACCGTGACGTGGTCGACGAAAGCCGGAACGTATGTACGTGGAAAAAAAGATATGATAGATGGACGTGTGTGCGTGGCGGGGCAGGGATAATTGGATTTTTCACGGAGTAACGGCGTTTGGCAACGCGGAACACTTCCTCGACGAAACCAGCTCTGGCCCGACTCTGAGCGTTCGGGGCTCGAACGAGTAGAAATAATAATAACAGCTCGCGCGAAGAGATCCCACTCATGATTTCTCGATCGAGAATTGAAATAGACCCCTCGGTGGTCCGGTATTCGCGAAGGAACGCAACAAACGGTTGTAGAAAGGGGTGTCACGCAGGCGTTTTGGAAACTGAAAGCTTGTTTTTCTTTATCAATGTTCATATTTCCTTTTTACCGTTTCTCCGTTCTCTCAACTGCACGCTTGAATGAAAATTATGTTACAACAGTCGTCGGATAGAATGAAGAGGTTTGTTTCGCCATCTCGGCGCCGATACGTCATCGTCGCTCCCAAAGTATTTTTCTCCCTCTTTCGTCATCTATCTCTATCTCCGTGACGCACATAATCGATACTAGAAACGTTCGACGGCGAGTAAGTAATTCGAAATTCGTCATTTCTTATTATACTGCGACGCGACGTCTCAGATAAATAGCGTCGCGACGACGCTATCCGGCTAATTGAATGTAGTTGTGTTCTTGAGCATGTCATGTATCACCCAGGCAAATATCCCACCGGAGATGACGACCCCGCCCCTGAAATCAAAAACATATTAGTCTCGAACGGTTTCAGGCGGTTACACGCATGTCACGTATCCCTTTCTTGCATGATTTTTTTGATGAAACTTGTTGCGTTTATAAATTAGACTAATGGGAACAACGTCGACAATTTTAGTCAAGAGATAGACAAACGATGGCTGAGATACAGAAAAGCTTCAAAGTGGTTCGACATTTGTTTAAAGCAATAAAAAAACGATAAGTTTTCAGATTCCACTAAAGGTGAATTGCACATAATTTTGTTTTCTTCTAGAACGTTTACTTTAAACGTGTTTTTCTCAAAGTCATAATGTTTGGTTAATTCTCCTAGTTTTTAAAACTATTTAAAAATCGTATGCTACATCTTCATTTTTTATTTTCCAGTCATTAATCCCGGATGCCAGAGATCCTGTCAGATACAATGGTAGCCAATGGTGTACAATTCATATTGTAATTTTAAATAATAAATAATGTATGAAAATGTGATCAAAATGTTGTGTAACAATCCCTCAGATGATCCCAATAGTTTCCTTCACAATTGCCTTAGTAAACAAAATTTGTTAGGCCCATAAGGTAATATTTCCTATTAACCCTTTGACCCCTAATGAGATAATACATCGCATGCAATTTCCATTACCACATATGCCACAGTTTTCTTATAAAAATCTTTAAAAAGCATCCTCTTACATAACACAAATAAACAATAAATACTATTAATTAATTAATTTTATCGACGAACAGGAACGAAGAAGCTATCTCGCGCAGTGATATTCGAAATTGAACGAAGTATATTTAACCTTTTAACTGCTGGTGCTCGAGTATACTCATGCGCGAATAATACTATTATTCTGAGTGTTCAAGCTAAAGGAAACACCAGGTATATAAACTTTTTAACTTCTATAGGAAATTTTCTAAGACCGTTTGTTTCGGCCACGAACAATTCTTCTTGATAGAACAATCGTTGATCGTGGTCGTGCTTATCGCACAGCCACTCTGTGCTCCTAACCCTTAGTTGAACCCTCAGAAGCTGGTGCTTCTGATACGCAGAATGTCTTCGTGCGGAGACTAACTAGTGATCAAGTTACTTGTCCAAGAGTAATCTGACGAAAAGTCCTGAATTTTCCCATTAGGAAGCCTCGGTTTCCCCTGCCAAGATGACAACGACGCACATTGCCTACCGGAGGGAGGATTGGTCAAACCAATCCTCATCGTCGTCACCTTGGCAGGGCGGTTCCTAACAATTAGCAACATTCCCGCCCACCCTGCCGTCCAGTGTCCAGGTAGACCATGCAGGAGTGAGCGAGAACGCTGCGTTGTTATTAATTTTTTGGGAAATACCCAACGACCGCGAGACCCCGGTGGTCCGCAGCTGTGCGCCAACGCGGGTTTACGATACGTCAATCGCTATTGAGGCAAGGAAGAGCTCCAAGGATTCCAAGTCCCGTGTAGAGTTTGGAGATTCCTTAACGACCATATCCTAATTTATCAAGAAAAAATGTCTTGAAGGCCTAGTCCTCAAAAATAGCGTAAAGTCACGTACGTATCATAAACCCGCTCGCTGTACCGACCCTGAACACCGTTTGCTTCTGTACTTCATTTTCACATACAGGGTGTTCAGCCACCCCTGGGAAAAATTATAATGGGAGGTTCTAGAGGCAAAAATAAGTCGAAAATCAGGGATACTAATTTGTTGATTGAGCCTTCGTTAAAAAGTTATAGAAACATTTCCGGCCACACAGTATATTTTCGGTAAGGAATTTTTTTTCTCGAAAGTAAGTAGGATTTCGGGGGTATGTGTATTCACCAAAAATGATTGCAATTAACTGCTGTAACCAAAAATAATTTTTTTAGACCGATTTGAAATTTTTTTTCTTCGGGGTAACTAGACAGTTATGGTCAGACATTATATTTTCAGTAATGAATTTTTTTCTCGAAAGTAAGTAGGATTTCGAGGGTATGTCTATTCACTAAAAATTACTATAATTGACCCCTGCAACTGAAAATAATTTTTCTAGGATGATTTCAAATTTTTTTTTCATCGAAAAATTTAGGCCTTGTCAATTTTCCTTAAAAATTTGTTTTTGATTTTTAATAATTTTGTTTCACGCCCTACAGAAAAGTTGTCTAATACTTTTTTGTAGGTGCTCATGAGCTCTAATTAAAAAAAAAGTTTAATTGAAATATATTATATTCACTATTGTAGGGGTTATGACTCTTTAAAAATTGGACTATTTCTATGAGGTTTTTGTTAATTTTAAGGGTGAAGGAGCAACTTTTCGAATATTTTTGGAATTTCCTCGCATTCTTCACTAAAATACGCGTTATTTGCATTTTGAAACAGTAAAATCGTCCATTCCGTTCAGGAGTTATGATGTTTCATGGATTCACATGAAATATCGGGGAATCATTTCACCTCTCAGATTATATTTTCGATAACGAATTTTTTTCTCGAAAGTGTATAGGATTTCGGGAGTATGTGTATTCACAAAAAATGATTGTAATTGACCCCAGTAACCGAAAATAATTTTTCTAGAACGATTTGACAAATTTTTTTTTCGCCGAAAAATTTCAGTACCTATCCCTATTTTTTTATCGAAAATGGTTAGGATTTCGGGAGTATGTGTATTCACAAAAAATGATTGTAATTGACCCCAGCAACCAAAAATAATTTTTTTAGAACGATTTGAAATTTTTCAATTTAATTTTTTAATAACTTTTTAACGAAGCCTCAGTCAAGAAATTGATACTCTTGATTTTCGTTTTATTTTGGCCTCTAGAATTTCCCATTAAAATTTTTCCCAGGCGTGGCCGAACACCCTGTGTATTTTTAATGATTAATAACTTCATAATGCTAAAATTTCTTGTGGGTTAATCGGCTGAGAGTGTCTTTGATAGATATGTCAAGGTGAGGGTCATCATCATTGCAACTGCCTCCCCTAAAGTTGATATTTACCCGAAATAGACGGTGATGCTTATGTTTCAGTGTTTTTAACAAAATTTGGAATATCATGTGGGCCAGTGTTCTCTGAAGTCGATGAAGGGGAAATCTTGAAAATAATTTTGAAGATAGAAAGGTGTTCATAACTCAAACATTTCATTCTCTTTGTTTAGTGAGATTAACCGAGCTATTGTAAATTTTATTTTCTATCACGTTGTAATTTGTTTTACGAAGAGAAACTATTACAAGAAATTTGTAATGAATCCACGCACAGAGATACAGAAAAAATTGTAAAAAATTGTAAAATTGTTCAAAAGTTCAATAATATTCTACGCAAATGCATGGAAGAACAAGAAAGTAGTATTTAAACTGATTTTACCTCCCAATGTCCAGATGCAATACGATAGAAGTCGTGAAAATGGTCCATGTTGGAGGCCAAAACGTTGATAAATAAAGGATGAACTTTACATCGAATTACTTCCTTCTGTTTCTGTTCGTATCGATAGAAAAAAGGGGTTAAAAAGGATTGTTATTTTAATACATCTGAACCAACAGAGTTCCAAAAATATTGTTTCGGTTTCCACCTTCTGAAATGCTCAAAACTTGCGCATTAAAGCGCGACTGTATAGCCGTCGGTCGAAGTGATTTAACGGTTCGCGACATTTATCGTCGCATAATTTACTGCATTATCACACGATCCTAAAATTATGTGGACCGTTCGTGCGGTATAATAATTATACTGCGGTGGAAAGTGAGCGAAATCCGTCGAGTCGGCCTCGGGAACGAAATATTTCACGATTAGAGCCGCGACGCTCGCGACCGTTGCGGCCCATTTTCGGTGCCCATTTTCAGAGCCCGAGTATGCACTAATTCGATAACATTCTGCACCCGTTGTGACATAATCTTGATTTTAGCGAACGGCTCGATAGGCAAGGTCCAATTCGATTCGTGTTTGCGAACGAGGCTATCCGTGTTACGTCAAACAAATTAATGGTCCTTCTTAGCGGGTCGAAAAGCTGTGCCCGCAAAATCTCTAATTAGCACTAAGATTGCCATAGATGCATAAGTACCGATCGCAGTGCCAATTGTTGCGAAGGCAGCGTAATACGTGGCACCCATCGCCGTTACCCAATATTAAGGTGAAACGTTAAAGATGCTCCGATTTCAATTTACTCCGCTTCGGCGTTCCGTCGCGACCCTCACAATATGACCTACGATATTAAATAAAAAGGGAACCGTAGATTTCTAAAAATATATTTTGAACGCACGATTAAAATAGAAAATAAACTAGAACAGATAAATGTGATTTATTGCGATGTTTGCTTTAGATATTCAAAATTATAACACCATGTACAAATATACAGGGTGCTCGGCCATCCCCGGGAAAAATTGCAATGGGAGATTCTAGAGACCAAAATAGAACGAAAATCAAGCATACTAATTTGTTGATTGAGGCTTCGTTAAAAAAGTTATAGAAATATTTCCGGCTACACAGTATATTTTTAGTAATGAATTTTTTTCTCGAAAGTGAGTAGGATTTCGGGGGTATGTGTATTCACCAAAAATGATTGTAATTGACTCTTGTAACCAAAAATAATTTTTTTATACCGATTTGAAATTTCTTTTCTTCAGGGTAACCAGACAGTTATGGTCAGACATTATATTTTTAGTAATGAATTTTTTTCTCGAAAGTGAGTAGGATTTCGGGGGTATGTATAATGACAAAAAATGGTTGTAATTAACACATAAAAAGGAAAATAATTTTTTTAGAACAATTTGAAATTTTTTATCATCGCCGAAAAATTTATACACTTATTGAATTTTCTTCTCGAAACTGGTTGGGATTTCGAGGGTATGTCTATTCGTCAAAAATTACTATAATTGACCCCCGCAACTGAAAATAATTTTTCCGGGACGATTTGAAATTTTTTTTTTCATCGAAAAATTTAGGCACCTACTCTCGATTTTTGTTAAAAATTCGTTTTTCATTTTTAATAAAACTGGTTGGCGCTGTATAGAAAAGTAGTTTACTACTTTTTTGTAGGTGTCCATTAGCTCTACTTTCCTACTAAATTTCAATGAGATATGTTCACTATTGTAGGACTTATGGTTGTTAGAAAATTTGATCATTTTTATGGGGTTTCTTTCATTTTACGAAGTTAAGGAACAACTTTTCGAATACTTTTGGTATTTCTACATATTCTCCATTAAAATACACGTTGTTTGCATTTTGAAACATTAAAATCGTCCAATCCGTTCAAAAGTTATGACATTTTAAAAATACGACTGTTAGGGAAGCATTTCTTTCTGGCCTCACATTAGATTTTCACTAAGGAATTTTTTTCTCGAAAATGCGTATGATTTCGGAGATATGTGCAATGACCAAAAATGATTGTAATCGACCCCCGCAACCGAAAATAATTTTTCCAGAACGATTTGAAATTTTTTAATTTAATTGTTAATAACTTTTTAACGAAGCCTCAGTCAAGAAATTAATATTCTTGGTTTTCGTCTTATTTTGGCCTCTAGAATCTCCCATTAAAATTTTTCCCAGGGGTGGTCGAACACCCTGTATGTGTATTACACAATAAATCATACCAAAATGCAATTAAGAAATAATTGTCGTTGAAATTCTTGAGAATACGAAACTACTCAATGAATTCTGACAGAATTCAGATCTCCTGATTCGAGTATAAGTATATATGTTACAGTGAAACACCGAAATCTGGAGAATGTCGACTTTCACCGGTGAATGTCAACATTCACATAGTCGCTTAGTGTATGTCCGAAATATTTGCTAAACACCCTTATTTCTGACTTACACCGGTAAATGTTGACATTCACCATGCACTAATGGTGAGTGTTGAACATGTTGGAGATTTATATTTTCTTCTCCGTAATTCAGTCGCCATAAAACGTCACAAGGGTGACGTAACTTTTTAGCCTCTCTTTCTGAAAGGATCTAACCCAGACCTAACCCAGACCTAACCCAGACCTAACTCAGATCTAACTCAGATCTAATCCAGACCTAACCCAGATCTAACTCAGATCTAATCCAGACCTAACCCAGACCTAACCCAGATCTAGGGTCTGGGTTAGGTCTGGGTTAGGTCTGGGTTAGGTCTGGATTAGATCTGGGTTAGGTCTGGGTTAGGTCTGGGTTAGGTCTGGGTTAGGTCTGGATTAGATCTGGATTAGATCTGGGTTAAGTCTGGGTTAGGTCTGGGTTAGGTCTGGGTTAGGTCTGGGTTATGTCTGGGTTAGGTCTGGGTTAGGTCTGGGTTAGGTCTGGAATAAGTCTGAATTAAGTCTGGGTTAGGTCTGGGTTAGGTCTGGGTTAGGTCTGGGTTAGAAAAAGATCACGATTTACTGCAGTATCCATTTAGTATAAATTAGGGTATCGGAAAAAAAATTAAGAAAACGTTGCTCGCGTTATCAAAGCTTGCATAAGACTGACAAAGCTGATTGACTCCGAGCAGAACAAAGGATTTGGCGGGAGAGAGCCAGTCGCTTGTTTTTTGACTCTTCTGTTTTGGACCTCCACCAGAGCATATCTGTGATTGTCGACACACACCGGAGAGGGTCCGAATGTACAACAATGTAATGAAATATTCGATCTTTCACCGACGTATTTGGTATCTGTTGACATTCACTGGTAAAAGTTGACATTCTCCAATTTCGGTCATTCACGGTAACATATACATATAATAAAAAAAAAGTAACAGAATAGTTAATCGATGGGTGATCTATATCCTCCATTCTTCTTCTAGATCTGCAGACGAATTCTCACCCACATGCACGTGGAATGTGCCCTTTGATGGAATTCAGATGTAGTGACCCAAATTCTTTAAAAAGGTTGTTCCTCTATCGCTATTAGAAACGATTAATAGTATTATTATCGCGAGAACGCATTTTATTAGCTGAAAATAGCGTTTCTATTTTCATCGTGAACATCACTGACTTTATAGCTTCTTGTTTGTTAAATTATACTTTTAGATATACATATAATAAATTTTTGCTGGATTCCTAAAACGTGTTCAACCCTTCGTTTCGAGTTCTCTTCACTAATCCAGGTGAACAACGAAGACCCTAAATTAAGCAACGCCAAAAGAGGGCTAAAACTTACACTGCGATAAAGCAAAGAACTGAAAACACTTTAACAAATAAGACAGAGATGCCAGAGACGATATACCGCATGCAAAATAATATTAAAGCTAAAAATATTCAAACCATAGTGAATGGATTAAACGGAACGAAGTTACGAGGCATTGAATCATAAGTGTCGCTGCGCAAGTTACAATCGTCCGGTGAATTAAATATTTTTCGTACGAAGTAACGTCACGGCCTTACGACGCCTAAAAATAAATATAGTCGTGTACGTACCATAAAATGATAATACTCGTAGGAGCGTGCTTTATAGGGTTGTATCGCGCCACTTGTAATTCCTTGTTGTTCTTAAAATGGTTCAATATATCCAGCGCGCTGTAACAGAATTTTTAAAGCGGCCACGATTATAACACGTGTGTAAAAATAATTTAGTATCGATTACGTTAAGCAACGCGTTAGGCTGCACCGTTGTTTAAGACGTGGAGCGAAGCAGGACAAGAGGATCAATAAAATTAACAACCGTATTCGTTTGAAGCAGGTCGATCGGTTCGATTCTCTCTTCTTATTTCTTTGTTCTTTCTTTTATTCGACGTGTATAGCTTCGTTGAACAAGAAAACGTTAAGGATACGCGATTTATCGCCTAGAATCGTTGCGGTTGGTTGTAATTCGATTTGCATAATTCGACTCTGGTACGGGTTAGGTTGTGTTTAATGCAAAAGTTCGTTGGTTAGAAACGGTACAGGCTTTGGAACAATGCCAGTGCCGAAGAAAATCTGACGCTTATAATATATGAACGTCGGTAGGCTGCGCGAGTGAATTGTGCAGAATGGTGAGCGTAAAAGAAAATGCATCACGCTCGTGAAAATGCATACTTGATAGCGGGGCATCGGATAATTCATTTTGATCTAATTCGGGAATGATGAAGTCACCTGATTTGCATACCCCCGATACGCGCGACGAGCTTTATGGACCCAATGCTTCCCTTTGTGTTCCTAATAGAAGTTATTGTTGCAATTTCGAACGCCATTTTCGAGCGTTCGGAGAAGACCTACGGAGCATAGCCCCATCACGTTCCAAGAAAAGAAACGTCAAACTGTTTAACAAAGTTACTAATTATTTCTTGATTATCGACAGTGACGATATCAACGATAAAACGACTTGATTCGTTGTTGGTTGAATAAAAATTTCACTGTTCGATCGAAACCTCGATAGAATAGTAGCATACTCCTTAAATTAATATTGCAACAATTTCATGGATGGAATATCGCTGTTAAATGGTTAACGGGAATAATAAATGCCCATACGACGGGATTTACGATGCAATTTAAACAGTAAGATGCAACCATTTTCCATTTCCGATAGTTCTCGTGTAAGTGCTCATTGTTTCGGCAGCTCGTCGAATGAAAAGTAAACCGATTTTAATGGATTCGCGAGAATTCGATATTTAACTGACGTTGGATTGTGATTCCAAGCTGTCTGAATTAAGAAAACGCGACCGATTGTTCGTTCGAGTTGCTCAAAGGAATAAACTGCACGCGAGGGTTGTTGTGACTGGGCACAATCATTTGAGACGTACGTAAAGTAGATACATTGCTCGTGTAGCGGTGATTTCTTGCCACGAGTCAATATACATGTTTTCGGTCTCGTCAAGATCTTTAGGGCAACTTCGACCCATCAGTACCTTTATTTCTATACAAATTAACTTCTACATTCGTTTAGTTATTAACTCAACAATAGAATTTATACGTAACAGAATCATTTCTTTGATGTATCTATATTAAAATAGAGCACCTTCATATGGGATAAAAAACAATCTATTTAAAAAAATGAACGATTAATTAATTACAAGCAAATTTTGTTTATGTGTATTCTCAATTGTAATTCTTTACTTATTATCTATCAGCCAGATGTAGACAGATAAAATAAATAAATTTAAAAAAAAAAACATTGAAAGTAACTTTTAATTAAATATTCAAACAAATACTATTTTTAATGGATGGATAAGAAATATGATTATATTATTATAAGGTTTTCATTTTCTCTATCGTCTATTTTATTTATTAAGAATGGTATTCAATTTGAATATTTATCCTATATGTAAATATAAATATACAGGGTGTTCGGCCACCCCTGGGAGAAATTTTAATGGGAAATTGTAGAGGCCAAAATAAGACGAAAATCAAGAATACTAATTTGTTGATGGGGGCTTCATTAAAAAGTTATTAACGTTTAAAGTTCCACCCGTACTAAATTTTTTTCTAGAAAGTGGGTAGAATTTCGGGGGTAGGTCTATTCACCAAAAATTATTGTAATTGACCCCCGCAACCGAAAATAATTTTCCCAGAACGATTTGAGATTTTTTAATTTTTTCGAACAATTTCACACCTTCTCGAATTTTTTTTCTAGAAAGTGGGTACAATTTCAGGGGTATGTCTATTGACCAAAAATGATTGTAATTGACCCCCGCAACTGAAAATAATTTTTCCAGAACGGTTTGAAATTTTTTTTTTCTTAGGCACCTACTCCCTTGGTCGATTTTTCTTAAAAATTTATTTGACGCTTTACAGAAAAGTTGTCTAATATTTTTTTGAAGGTACTCATGGGCTCTGCTTCGGAAAAAATTTCAATGAGATAACTTTACTATTGTAGGAATTATGACATCTTACAAATTCGCATTAAGGGAAGTATTTCTAGATTTTCGGTAAAGAATTTTTTTCTCAAAAGTGCGTAGGATTTCGGGGTTATGTCTATTCACCAAAAATGCTTGTAATTGACCCCTGTAACTAAATATAATTTTTTGTAATATGATTTGAAATTTTTTAATTTCGTCTACAAGTTTCAGTACCTGCTCGAATTTTTTTCTCGAAAGTGGGTAAGATTTCAAGGGTATGTGTATTCACTAAAAATGATTGCAATTGAGCCCCGCACCCGAAAATAATTTTTTCAGAATGATTTGAAATTTTTTAATAACTTTTTAACGAAGCCTCAGTCAAGAAATTGATATTCTTGATTTTCGTCTTATATTGGTCTCTAGCATCTTCCATTAAAATTTTTCCCAGGGATGGTCGACCATCCTGTATGTATATTATATTCATGCATTATGTGTACGAAGAATTCAATTTATGCTAAACGTTTATGTAAGAACTCCAATGGTCTAAATAATCTTCAAGGGATCTTAGGTCGTTCACCCTCTCGCTGATATTTATAGCTTTCCTGGTGATGCTCTACTGACAACATTTACGATTATAATTGATCTGTTTCTCTATGATGCTATATCGGACTCGTTACGTTCGAAAAAATATATTATTCGTCATTCTACCTGCACGTGTTTCGATTTCGAGAGTGATAACCGTTACTTTTCGAGTTATCGAAGGAAATAATGTACGATAGTTTATATATAATCCCTTCGAACAATATCGTTCCAAAATATCGAAAGAACACGAACTGAAGGAAATTTTGGCAAAACGAAAATGCAGTTACGTCGTATAAAATCACGTGCACCGATATTACACTTTGTAAGTGCAACGATGAGTATACGCGGTTGCCCTTGGATATGATCCAAAATAGTTCCGCCACCTTACTTCGAAGCAGCTCCATACTAAAATACCAACTGCGTACTTAATACCTAATTATATTTGCCTGATGCGTGAAGTAAAGTGTAGCGGGTAAATAAAACGATTATTAGATCTCCATTTCCGTGCGTATTCGATGCCCGTCGAGAATTTCGATATGTTACGAATCATGTAAGTGATTCGCGGTATCTGCTTTTCCCCTTTAATCTCTACATTGTTTTGTTAACCCGGATACTGCGGCGTGTAGAAAACGTAAAATATGAGTTTCTGTGGGCATGCTTCGCGTCAGTTTGACAGGCTGCAGTGGGGTTATTTGTGCCCGACGACAACCGAGTTTAAATTTATTTCCCGCTAAACGAGATGTCTATTCGAAAGGATTTACGTACGCACTAATATTTCCAGGTCACACGATGAAAATATGCGTATACAATATTGCATTGTGCATCGATTTAGTTGCAATTTTTTATCGATTCAAAATAATTCAAGTGTTTGTGTAAAAAAGAATATTCGTTTGTTAGGTTATGGTAGGGAACTAATTTGATGAAACGAAAAATTTCACTAACCTTCTATGGTTCGCGACAGCCAATAAGACACGTTTCCGGGCAAAAGGCATCACATCCACATGTCCGAAAGACGAAAACCTGTCAGTTATCTGACGAGAAAATTTCAAATTCAAAAATAATAATACATTGCAATTGTACGTTATAACGTACCTCTTTTATATTTAAAGATGGCGTCTTCAACCTCACATGAAGCCATTCTGGTCTCGTTGACACTGGGTCTTTTCCATCAAGTTTCTGAAATATTCGTTTATCTAAATTACTAGTTAATGCATTGCATTATCTCTATAAACTTTTCTTACCAAACATACGTAGTTGCCTCTAGTTATATTTATGGTGTTTACAAAATGTTTTACGCCATTCATTAGTTCAAAATGTGTTATTGGCCTTTCTTCTAAACCCCTAAATTTTACACAATTAATAACCACTTAGAAAGTATAAGTACAAATGTTGTTAACAATGCAATATGATTATTACATTAAACATACTCTCCATATTTTTTTATACTAAAAATGTGCGCCATCTTTATAAAAATATACCCAGTAAAGTATGCATCCCATCCTGCAACGTGGTTATTTTTCACTTCTGAAATTAAATTTGAAACAAATTAGGAATTTCTACATAGAAATGCTTATTTTAATAAAATAATTAAAAAATTATTACTTAATGGTGCATCCTCTAATTTAATATTTGGCGAATTAAATGCTAAAAATCGCCCCTGATCTGTCTTAAAATATTCATATATCGAAGTCAGTGAATTTATTTTCCAAGTTACTTGAAGAAAAAAAAATATTTTTATTAGTTATAATATCATTTATTTTATTTAAAAATTGTTTGAATATTATTTTTACCTTCTTTCTCAAATAATTTCTTAAATTCAAAACTCAACAATTTTGTGTCATATATTTGTGGAAACAATGCATGAATATTCTTTTTGAATTGTATATATTCATCTGGAACACAAATAATTCTTAATTACCAAATTTGAAAAAATTATTTTTACCCATTAAGTATATACCCATAATTTTTTATTACAATGCATTTATAGTTACTTGGCAATGGTCTATAAAATTGTTGATGTATGAACATTAAGTCCAGAAGTATATTATGTCCTATCATTGGTTTTTTAGTAGTAGTTAAGAGTTTAAATACTTTACAAAATCCTACATAAGAATCTAACAATTCATTTTCTAAATCATCGCCATGTTCTTTTTCTAAAACATAGTGCATGTCAACTGATACTCTTATAACTACTACCTAGGGAAAGGAAATAAAACAACCTTAAACACAGTCTCAATTCTAACAGATCATCAATAACAAATAACAAGTTTTACATACTGCATTATGTTTCGACACTGTCCAAATATTTTCAAAATTGTTTCTCAATTCTTTATGTACCATATATTGTAAAGTAGGCGAAATCATTTTTAACTCGAATGAGATTTCATGTGGTTTAGTTTGCAACCATTTAGAAACTGTATTTTTACAGTCTTTAAAGATATCTTCCTCTTGGTATGTTAAATGTTGCATATTACAGGCTAATTTACCTTCCTTCAACAAATTTTTCATTCGTGTTTCATCTATTTCGTCAAGATACGATACTCCATCTGCAAACTAAAATGTGTGTCATATTATGTATGCACGCTTAACATTCATACTATAAATATAACAAAAACGACTATTTAAAACAAAGATGCACGTCTGAAATACTGCCACAAACAAAATCAAACTCTGGTTAAACGAGCTGTAAATATTTAAGTATATTTTTTTTCTAAAGGCTTGCATAGCACTGTTTCTTTATAAAGAGATACGCTCCTGGCATAATCATAATTTTGTTACTAACATAAAATGTTTCATCGTTCTAAACTTAGTAAGTTTGTATGTGCATCTCTGATTTAATGTAATTTAAAATTTTGATTACATACTTTATTAAAGTCAAAGTTATTTGTGGAGAGAAATTCCAAAGCAGACACTTGCCATGTAAATTGCCTATTTTTTAATGGTAAGGATCTTGGTATTAAATAAAAATTGTAACATTTTACTGCATAACTATTTATATCAGGGATATGTTGAAACGCAGCAATGCCATATTGGACTATAACGAACGACTCAATGTTTTCCTTCAAATTTGTATACCGAATATGAAGCGAATCAAAAAGGCTGAAGGAAAATAGCACAAATAATAATAAATCCAGTTAAAATTTTTAACTATTTCTAAATGTTAAATAAATTTAACCTATATTTAAAATAGTCGTCTGATTGTATTCCCGTAAATTCTGCATCGAAGGCAATAAAAGATGCATTTTTAATAGTCGTTTCTAACTCTGGGTATAACTCCTTGAAATTATTATTCAATACTTCATTCATGATTGCCGTTCTATGTACACCGTGCACCTAACCTTTACTCAGCGACACATCTGATCACATAAGATTGCTTATAAACTTATTTTAATAAACGATTATAACACCAACAATCGTATTTTCCTACAAAAAATCAAATTTTCAACTTATTTTCAAATTTCCTCAATTAGAGTTTTAATCGCGAACAAAATACCAGCTTGCCTTCTTTTCCGGTAGCTGGACTACCATATACTAACTATGGATGTTTACGCTATCAAAGACGTCATACTTAATGATGAAATATATGTACTAAATAACATTATTAGTTAAAAATTTGTACAGTACATCTATATAATATATAATTTGATAAAAATATACTATTATATGTAACATTTAATTCGATAAGAAATACACTGATATGTGTATTTATTTTTACTTCTTTTATACTTTATCAATTTTACACATTACAAGTTACCTAACGTTGGAAACGATGTAAAAAGAATTGCATACCGATATCCTTCGAGCAAATATACATATATTATATATTTCTATACACATTCTATACAGGGTGTTTGGCTATCTCTGGGAAAAACTTTAATGGAAGATTCTAAAGGCTAAAATAAGACGAAAATCAAGAATATTAATTTGTTAATTGAGGCTTCGTTAAAAAGTTATTAACGTTTAAAGTTACGCGTGATAGTGGTTCTCACTCACAAAACTGCGAGGCTGTCGATACGTCACTAAGTAGAGTTTCTCATGCTGAGTGAGAACCACTATCGCATGCACGCAGATTGCCGTTCTACAGGCGGACCTTTAAACGTTAATAACTATTTAACGAAGCCTCAATCAACAAATTGGTATTCTTGACTTTCGTCTTATTTTGGCCTCTAGAATCTCCCATTAAAATTTTTCCCTGTACATAAATATATTTCTATAATGTTTCAGAAATCTTCCTGCAACAGTGTCGCAACGCGCAGCAACATCTTCGAAATATTCCATCAAGCATTTCGAATCTTACGGAAGTTAAAGGAATATCTATTTACCGGATACCTCAACTATTAAATTTGAAAATGTTATTTCAGGAAATTCCTCGTTAAGTTGCAAATGCAATTAACGAGAAAGTTCTCCAACGTAGGCTCGCAACAAGAGTGGACACATTGAAAGAAAAGTAAAGTTATGTTCCTCGGTGCATTAGAAAACCATTTAATTCAACGTGCCAACGAGATACTAATTGAAATTTTTTTATTTTGTTTCCAGTACGGTCGGGATTTTGATGATCCACCCGACAGAAATGAATAGAATTGCTAGAATTCGTGGACATATTTCGCGAGACTCGAAACGCAAGTGGAAGCAAAAACGGCACGAGTCACAGGTAAGAAGGCGCGCGAGCGTTTCCGCAGTTGAAAGATCTTTCTTTTTAATCGGGAAACAACTCTCTCTCTGGCAATGAACTTGCTGCTATCGTGCTAGTGCAGCCGCGGCCACGAAACCGGCTAGTTCGGGCTCTTGAGCGTTCTGTTCCAGCCACATACACGCCAAATAACGTCACTGGAACACGGATCGCCCTCGAACGGTTCCAGCAATGTTCTTCAGATTCGCGATCTTCGTCGGCCTGAGTTCCGTCGTCGCGACCATCATCTATCTGACGCCCATACCAGGTTAGTTTTTCATCGACGTTCCAGCACATCGCGTTCTTGGAATGTAAATTCCATATATCGTGGCCAGGTGTTTTTATCTACATGCTCGAAACGTAGATTCGAACAAAGAAATCAACGACAAATGAATTCCTCAAATACAAGGACCCGACGAGGCATTGAAACACACTATAGAAAATAATTTGACAATTTGTATTAATTACTTAATTTTATTATATTCACGCTTGTTTCTTGTAATACAATAACTTCAACTTTAGACGATTTAACTGCCTTTTTCGTCTTTGTTTATGTAACACTTCCTGAAGCTTGTTTTATTTATAAACATGTAGCAGATGCGATTAAATTTAATCAGATACAATTAAAGTTATATTCGAGTAATTTGTTCCTTGTTATTTTTTAACTCAAATATTTCGCTTGATCGTTTACATTTTAATAGCAAAACATTCGATGCATTTAATTTTTACAAATGTGCTCGTACTGTAACGCCTATTTATGATAAAAGTAACGTAAAGAATCATTCGAGCAAGTAATTCCCGCGACCAAGATAAGTGCCAGGTTCGAAGTGACATGTAAAAAGATCTACTTCAACGGTCGTTAAACTTTGATGATCCGTGTATCCGTACAAAGAAACGACAGTTTTCTTAGCTACCTGGCCACAAAAGCACGACACGCATAGCTTGGCAGTAACTTTTTAAGGAAGTATGTTTACATTGAGATCTTTCCACTAGGAGCTGAATTCTCTGACATACCTTGGTATTGTTTAGTTTTAAGTCAGGCTGTACAGAGAGAAATTCCGGATACAAAGATTCTGCGCTGAACTTGTCGAGGTGAACGGCCTCGAATCAAGATTTCTGCACCTCATGGCTGTCTCTGCACGATGATGATCATCCACGAGTAGTATTATTATCATCCAAGATGCCATAACCGTTAAGAATACGAGAACGTTTCGCTTCTTCTAGCGTTCTGTAAGATTTTAAACGATCGCAACCAAATCGTGCAACTTTTGTGCAAGTTCTTCTTACAAGTTCAACAGATTCAGTTCAATGTCACGTTTACGTGCTCATTGTCAGACGCGTTTGAAAGTCGCGCGCTCATTCCCATCGAACAGTTCCATAAATCGCCTCGTTTGTAAATATTTATTCATAATTTCAGTGGTCACTTTCATCTTGCAATACCTACAAAACACACACAAACTGAAAGTTAGAATTATTTAATCCCAGAGGGCCTCGATCTATTTCCTTTTATTTTATTTGAAATTGACAAGTATTATGCTTGGTCTCGAGTAACATTTTAATTTTTGTGCACGATACGAACCATTTGGATGTCATTTGGATTTTACCAATTTCTACCTTTCTACCAATTGACGATGGACTCTTCTGGGCCACGAATTGGCGTTAATACGCTGAAGTGTGGTGATTTAGGGGTCAAATAAAAACCTGTCGAGACATTTAATTGCGAACGAAAGTTGCGTGTGAAAGCGTGATGCATACATCGTTTCGTAGATGCTCTTAAACGCGAGAGGCTCGCGCTTTCTTCAAATTTTTGACATCGGCTCCGCTATCTCGACAAATCCTCCGCATCGAGTTTTCTACCTTATTAATTTATATTTACGAGCTTGAACGCGTCTTCCTAGCGGCTGGTTTTATCCGCGATTCTCGGAAACCACGATTCTGTAATGCCTCGCTTTCTCCGTCGAGCAACGATGTCGTGCATCTTTGAAAATCGAGGGGACTCGTAAACTTGTTTGACTGCATCCCAGGCCTGGCAAGCCTTTCGTATAAACCTGTAAAGTCAGACAGTTGCGTAATGGGAATGAGTAACATTAATATTCGGACACTTTGCAATTCTTGCTTTGTCGCTTTGTAAATTCGTCTGCGACAAAGCATAAAGCGATCGAGACTTGCAGAGCGATTTTGGAAACTAGGACAATCTGAGATTCTTTTCCAAGCGAATGTGCAAAATAGTGATACCGGAGAAAGCCGAGTTCCGCGATCAGAGATTAGCATTATCTTCGATGTACATATTTTTAATCATTTCTTCGAGTTGCTCTTGATACAAACGCATTAAGATACCGAGCCTCGTTTTCTATCTTCGTGGATTACTAAAGCGATCTTAGACGAAGTGCTGTGGCGGCAATGGTAAAGGTAGAATTAAGAAAGGGCCCGATCGAGGAAACAGGAAATATACGCGTATACGAAGAAACAGGAAATGCAGTTAACTGCTGTACAACTTGTCGACAGTTACGTCTTTCTTTTACAAGAATCTCACGACCCTCCATCGATAATTCCTCGGCAGGCTTGTAAAACTTACAAAGTAGACATTTATTGGCTGAGAAATGATCGAAAGTAAATTGTAAAGGTTGTGAGTACCAACAATATTCCAGTTTCTTTTTTCAGTCGTAGTATTTTCGAGCATTGCAAAAATGATAAAACGATAAAGTGAAAATTTCAAAGCGTTCGAATGTGAAAGCTACCGCGGGTCCTCTGATTCACGAAATTAAGCGATAAATCGTTTGCGAGGAGAAGTTTCGAGGGAAAGTAATTGGCGAAGGGTTACGTAATTTCGTGAAAACGAAAGTACCTTTTCCATTGTGGATAGTTTTTAGCGATTATAAGGTGCTGCGTGGCTCTAAAGCATCGTAAAGTCTCGAACTCAACGAGCAGTGTTTTTCTCGTTGCTTCGAAGCAGTAAAAACCATTCAACGATTACGATGGGTTTATAGGTGTTCGAATACTGCGAACAAAGTGTTGAATTATTCGAAACATTCTTTGGAAACACGGGCCATCTAAAAGTAAATGTAATCTGGGTCCGTTTTCACCCGAATCTGAATTCCATATACAGGGTGTTCGGCCACCCCTGGGAAAAATTTTAATGGGGGATTCTACAGGCCAAAATGAGACGAAAATCAAGAATATCAATATTTCGTTTGAGGCTTCGTTAAAAAGTTATTAACAATTAAATTAAACAATTTCAAATCGTTCTGAAAAAATTATTTTCGGTTGCGGGGGTCAATTACAATCATTTTTGGTCATTACACATACTCCCAAAATCTTACGCACTTTCGAGAAAAAAATTCTTTACCGAAAATCTAATTAGGTGCATCGACGAAAAAAAAAATTTCAAAACGTTCTGGAAAAATTATTTTCGGCTGCGGGGGTCAATTACAATCATTTTTTGTGAATTGACATACCCCCGAAATCCTACCCACTTTTTAGACAAAAATTCGAGAAGGTGTGAAATTTTTCGACGGAAAAAAAATATTTCGAATCGTTCTGGAAAAATTATTTTCGATTGCGAGGGTCAATTACAATTATTTTTGGTCATTACACATACCCCCGAAATCTTACGCATTTTCGAGAAAAAAATTCTGTACGGGCCAAACTTTAAGCGTTAATAACTTTTTAACGAAGCCTCCATCAATAAATTAGTATTCTTGATTTTCATCTTATTTTGGCCTCTAGAATCCCCCATTAAAATTTTTCCTAGGGGTGGTCGAATACCCTGTATACAGGCTTCTGATCGAATTTCTGCATTATTGTGCTTGTAAATTCTTTATTTGTTATCATCGTTTATTTT